AGTTTCTAAGGATCAACTGGTGAGTTTCAACCGCTGACCCTGAGGCTCGAAATCCAATGCTTATCCTACAGAGCAACATTGGGACTCCTTTAACTAGAACAAAAAATTTTCAAATAAAGGGGAAACATAGATGTTTAAAACAGAAAGTATTTACTAGCAATTCTTTTCCTCAAGAAACAAGGTTGTTATAGGACACAAACTAGCAAGAAAAAGGAAATATCCAAAGACATATTTAAATGTCCATTCATTTTCCTGACACATTAAGATTGTTGTTGTTGTTACATGCCGTGGAGTCGGTTCCAACTCATAGCGACCCTGTATAGGTTTCCGAGGCTGTAAATCTTTACGGGAGCAGAAAGCCTCATCTTTCTCCCACGTTTAAAAACACCATGCCCAACCCTTTAAACACACCCTACACAACCATTTAAAAATACCCTACCCACCCTTTAAAAATGTCCCACCCAACCCATTAAAAATTAAGATTAGGAAATAAAAAAGAAATACTATATATGACGTTGATATTAGGAAGCAATGATCCTGCAAACAAGAAAGAACCAAAGTGTTATAACTACCTTTATAAAATGAGAACAAATCATTGGCTTGAGCAGAGTTGTTGTTGTTTGTTTAAGAGACAAGTTATATTTAAGTGGGCATATATTTAACTAGGAGTCCTGGTGTGACACTGTGGGCTAATGCGTCAGACTGCAAAGTTGTTTCAACTGTAAGGTCAGTGGTACAAGCTTACCAGCTGCTCCTTGGAAACCTATACCGGGTCGCTATGGGTCGGAACTGACTCAACAGCACTTAACAACAACAATTTAACTAAATGGGAGACTACCAAAATTCTTTTAACGTCTTCAATTTCAAATTTACTACATTCCTTTACATCCTCATTTAATCAATGTTATGGTTAAATTTATGGGTCAACTTGGCTAGGTTATGGTACCCAATTATTTGATAAAACATTAGTCTTTGTTGTTGTTACGTGTGTGAGCCAGTTCTGACTCATAGCAACACCGTATAGGTGAGTGTGAACCACCGACCTTGTGTTTCAAACTGGTCTTGTAGTCTTACAATTGCTTTATCCTACAATGTCACTCCAGTATTCCTAATAAACATATTACCTTCTATAATGGGAGCAGCCTCAATCAATCAAAAGCAAAAGGGGAGTTTCCCCTAAGGGTGTGTTCTACTTCCATATTATACCTGTAAATAGATGTTTTCCCAGAACACTCCTATTCTTCACTCTTCTCAATGCCTGACCTACATCCAGATTTTAGAAAGTGCAAAAGTCTTCAGCCTAATGCCTGACCAACAGAAGTCAGCACTTCACAATCACATCAGCCAATTCTCTCTACGTACACATGTATGCATATCTGTATGCCTGGTTCTGTTTCTCTAGAGTACCCAGTTTCCAAATCCTGACAACTTTTACTGAAAACATTTCCCTAACTCATCAGACTTCAACATCTCAAATGTATCTATGCTAGTGCAATGACTTTCTAATTCTGACTCTGATCACTGCTGCTGCTGCCGCCGCTGTAGTAATGATGGTTATATACTTTGGAGTAGGATCCGACTCATAGCGACCCTGCACAGGGTTTCTGATGCTGTAAATCTTGATGGGAGCAGAACAGCTAATAGTTTCGAACTGCTGACCTTGAGGTTAGCAGCCTGACTCGTAACCACTATGCTACTCTGATCACTTGTTGTTGTTAGGTGCCATCAAGTCGGTACCAACCCACAGCAACCTTATTATGCACAGCAGAATGAAACACTGCCCGATCCTGGGCCAACCTCACTACTGCTGCCACGCTTGAGTCCATCGATGCTGCTTGCCAATCCATCTCACTGGGGATCTTCCTCTTTTTCTCTGACCCCTTCACCTTACCAAACATGATAGCCTTCTCCAGCAACTGGTCCCTCCTGACAATATGTCCAAAGTATGAGAGACGAAGTTTGGCCATCTTGGCCTCCAAGGAGCCCTCTGGCTGCACTTCTTCCAACGCAGATCTGTTTGTTCTTTTGGCAGCCCATGGCACTTTCAATATTCTCCTCCAAATTCAAAAGCATCAATTCTTCTACAGTCTTCCTTATTTACTGTCCAGCTTTTGCATGCATATGAGCTTATTGAAAATACCATGGGTTGGGTCAGGCACACCTTAGTCCTCAAGCTGACATCTTCGATGTTCAATACTTTAAAAAGGTCTTGTGTAGCAGATTTAGTTAATGCAATACGTCGTTTGATCTCTTGACTGCTGCTTCCATGAGTGTTGATAGTTGACCCAAGAAGAATGAAGATCACTAGTCCCCTCTAATTTGCAATGTGTACTGCCAAGTTTAAGGAGCTCTGGTAGCATAGTGGTTACGAGTTGGGCTGCTTATCGTATAGTCAGGAGTTCGAAATTACTAGCGGTTCCACGGGAGGAAGATGAGGCTTTCTGCTCCTGTAAAGATTTACAGCCTCGGAAACCCAATACAGGGTTGATATGACTCGGAACCAACTGCAGAGCACATAACCACCACCACCCACCACTGCCAAGTTTACTTACTTTTTAAAAGAATAATGTATCTCTGCCTTACTCAAAACTCTCCAAAGGGTCCTCATTTTCTACAAAAATCAAGACAGAATCCACTTGACAGCAACTGCTTTGAAATTAAGACATCTCCATCTCATAAAATGACAATCTGGGTATATGGTCTCAAATTTTACACAAACCTCTCTGCTTCAGACATAATTGTTGTTAAGTGCCACCAAGTCAGTTTTGACTCATAGCAACCCCGTAGGAGCAGCTGATGAGCCTGAACTACCTTGTAGTCCAGTGCATTAACCACAGCACCACACCAGGACTCCTTAGACATAATAGTCTCCTTTTTATTTTCTAGAACACAATCCCTGTCTTAACATTCTGTTCCACTCTACAGTATAATATGCTATATCTCTCCCTACATCCAAATCCTGTAGGACAAACATATATTGCACATTTACCCTGCTCTCCAAGCACAAAAGCAAGGAGCCCTGGTGGCACTCTGGGTTAGGCACTGGGTTTCTAACTGTAAGGTCAGTGGTTAAGGCACACCAGCAGCTCAAAGAGAAAAAGAAGAAAGCTCTATAAAAGGCTACTCAGAGTTGGAATCAACCTGAAGGCCTTTTGTTTTGGCTAAGCAAAAAAAACATCATCTCAAGTCCCACAACTTTTTTTCTTTAGCCTAAAGGAAATTGTCTCCTTCCTCAATGTTTTCCATTTAGCATGCAGTTGAAGTGAGAAATGCCCATGTACTCCATCCTCTCTCAGTATACTGATTTAGTTGTGAGATACCATCAAAGAGTGCCACAGATAAGACTAAGAATGAAGAATGGGATTGTGCATCTAGTCATTAAATATTTATCAAGCAATTACTAATGTGCCAAACACTATTATGGGTCCTGTTTTCATGGAATGTGATTGTGTGTGTGTGTGTATGTGTGTGTGTGTTTTGGGGGACGGAGGGTAATCAACACTTAATACATGAATGAAGTTCACTAACACTTTAGACTCTTAAGTGCTTTGAAAAATATAATACAAGTTTGATATGCTAGCAAATCACCATAAAAGGGCTATTTTAGAGGGATGGACTTGAAGTACCTGAGATTTAACTGAAGAGGACTAGGTCATGTGATCATAGTTAACTAGTCCTGGTGTGGTACTGTGGGTTAAAGCATCAGACTGCAAAGTCTTTAGAACTTCAAGGTCGGTGGTTCAAGCTAGTGCACTAGCTTCTCCTCGGAAACCCTATACAGGGTCGCTATGGGTCCGAACAGACTCGACAGCATTTAACAACAATAACATTAACAAACCAAAGGACCCTACCTACATTTGCGGTTCCAAATCATATGAAACAACATTCCCCAAAATGAAAGTCAATACAAATACTGTGCTAGTAGCTAATCAAGACTGCAAACCAAACAGACAAAATATTTAACAATCTTTGTATGAAACACATATGGTGGTCAGTTCAAGAGTCCTAATTGTGTTCTAAAAGAACACCGCAATCCAGTGTCTTCTACTCCCATTCGTTCAGAACTCTTCGTCTTCGAAGAGTTGGACTCCTAAGAGTCGTCAAAGCAAGTCGTCAAACCTAAGTGAAAATTTTAAGAGTACTCAAAGTCCAGTTCTATGACCTAAGTGAAAATTTTAAGGGTACTCAAGGTCCAGTTCTATTTTCTGATCGAGAAGCTACAGAAAGCAGATTCTTCTGTACATTCTTATGACTAAAATCAGCTTCAACAAGATGCAGGGGTTCTTCGATATGGGGGTAAACGCAGTGTTCAAATCGGGGGCACCAAGACAGGCCAGATCGTAGGGGAAAAGGGATCCAACCGTTTCAGGCCAGTGTGGATTCTGGCTGAATACCACTAAGCTGATTTTCTGGTTTGTAAACGGGCATGCCAATGATTCCACCTCTCCAGATATGTGGAGTTCTAATAAGATGGCAGTAACAGAAATTTCAAAGCCGCATGGAACCGGGCAGTCTGAAGTCACTTAAAACTCTTTCTACCAGGAAGCGCGCAGGCGGGAGCCGCGCCAGCATTACCTTGACTAGCCACACTCCGGTGTTCTGTTTGGCGCCGGTGAGATCGAGTTCGCCGCGCTCAGCCATGGATTTGTCGCCGGTGGAGATCTGCAGGACAGAGCAACGGCTCCGGAGTTGGAGGAAATCTGTGGGACAAGCGTCCGGAGCAAAGACACAGCCGCGGAGTAAAGAGGACTTACAGAGAAGCCGGAGTCGCTCAAACACCAGGATTCAGGAAATTCTGGGAAACAGGAACTCGCCGCTGGGAGCCGGGAACCGCGCTTGCGCACTACATCAGCAGTACGGCGCGCTACTGGGGACATATTTTCTGGTTCAGCCGCCTCTTGGATGGGCATAGCTACTGAATGGCTAGTGCCCGAGCAATTTAAAGCAGAGGGTTGTTGTTGTTGGAGATCACCAAATGTCTGCAATATATTAAAAAACTTAAAACAACAACAACAACAACAAAAACCTTCCTTGGACGGGATTCCAACTCATAGTGACGCCATAGGATAGACTACAACTGCCCCATAGGGTTTCCAAGGTTGTAAATCTTTTATGAAAGCTTACTATCACATCTTTTTTCCACAGAACAGTTGATGAGTTCCAACAGAGGAGAGTTCATTTAGCAGCCCAATGCTTAAACCACTGTGCCATCAGGGTGCCTTCATTTAAAGCATTTAAAGATTGTTGGTGTTGTTAAGTGCCGTTGTTAGTTCAGATTCAGAGCGAACTTCCGAGGAGTAGCTGGTGGGTTTGAACCGGCGACCTTGGGGTTAGCTGGCCATTGCTTATCCTACAGATCCACACCAGGAGATCAGCATAACTCAGGAAGTAGTGTATCAAAACAGAAAAATGGGATTCAGCTGTCAGTATATGCCCAATCCTGACCAAGGAGAGAGAGACAATATTTTGAAGGATAGGGTCAGAGTAAAAATTGGAGTTCTTCAAACATCATTTTCCTAGGCAGTGAACAAGTACAAGTGAGCACTGGCATTCGACTAATCTCCCCTAGATATTCTGAAAACAAAGAGCTGGACTGCTAACCAAAATGTCAGCGGTTGGAACCCACCAGCTGCTCTGTGGGAGAATGATGTGACTGGCAGTCTGGTTCCCTACATATTTAAAGCCTTGGAAACGGTATTGGATAGTTCTACTCAGTCCTTTAGAGATACTATGAGTCAGAATTGACTCGAAGGCAGTGGGGTGTTCTGAAACATACTGTTTGTACAACTGAAAAGAAAGTGATGTCTCAACTCAAAGGCTGCCACTGAGGACCAGTGCTTGAGCAAATGAATCACCCTCTCTTTAGAGTCCCAGATCCAGGGTTAATTAGGTCAGTGACAATACAAATGTATAAGAGACGAACCTAATTTGTGAATTCTGCTTAAACAGTTTTCCTTTCTCTCCTTGCCTCTAGAATAAAACGTAATCTCTCTGCTTCCTGAGCCCTCCCAATTCGATCTGTTCACACTTCATGCATCCAACCACAGGAAATCTATCAGACCAGGACCTTCCTCAATCATTTCAGGGCCTCTGCACACAAGATTTCCTACCAAATAGATACCCTATTCTTCCCACTGTCCCTGTCCTCTGCTAAACAAACTTCTACTTACCTTTCCAGACTAATGGAAATGTTACTTCATATGAAACTATAGGAAGGACCATAGGGTAATGGTGAACTGCCCCATAGTATTTCTGAGGCTGTCATCTTTATGAGGGATCCCTGGTGGAGTAGTGATCAAATACTTGGCTGCTCTGGACACACTAGCTTTACAACCTTGTTGTTGTTGTTGTTGTTAGGTGCCATCGAGTTGGTACCGACATGCACAACAGAACGAAACACTGCCCGGTCCTGCGCCAACCTCACAATTGTTGTCACATTTGAGCCCATTGAGGCTGCCACTTTCACTTGTTTCTCTTCATTTTGACTTGTATTCCATCAGCAACCTTGGAAACCCTAAAAGGCAGTTGTATGTATTCTGTCCTATGAAGTCCAACTATGTTGTTTTTGTTGTTGTTAGGTGCCATCAAGTCAGTACCAACTCATAGCGACCGCAATGAATTCCACAACAAAGAGTTTTTTCGGTTTGGAATCTTGACAGAAGCAGATTGTCACATCTTTTTCTTGTAGAACAGCCCCTGGGTTCAAACGAGGGCATAACCACTAGTCACCAGAGCTCCTACAGGTTAACACACAACACTACAATGGTGATGGTGATTGTATGCCCTGGAGTTAGTTCTGACTCAAGAGATTCTGTATAGGGTTTCTGAGGCTGTAAATCTTTATGGGAGCAGAAACTTCATCTTTCTCCTGCGGAATGGCTGGTAGTTTCGAACTGCTGACCTTGAGGTTAGCAGCCTGACTCGTTACCACGATGCTACCTACACACGTTTATATGGCTGCCTTTGCTTTCTCGACTGTGAGCTCCTCCCAAACAGCAACAGTATTTTATTCATTTTATACCCACAATGTCAAGCAAACTGTTTGACACATTGTCAGATTTCAATAGGCTTTGGTTGAACCAACATTTACTGAAGAAAAACAAACAGTAAGATACTGTATGAATGGAAAGTAATATATCAAACCACACATCAGAGGCAGGCATAAAATGAAGAAACTCCATATCTGTGCAGTATAGGGCCAAGAAGAGCCACCCGATCTCTGAGATCAATATAGAAAAACTAACAAGAAAGATGGGAGCCAGGCAGTGTGTTTAAAAGGAAGGCTATATTTTTGTACATCTTGGGAAGGGGGCTAAACACGTGTAGCAGTCAGGCAAAGGAAGAAAGCTGTTTGAAGTTTGATCAAGTAGAAGGAATAAATTGAGGTCTGAGACCAGGAAGGGATGGGAAGTGGCCTTGAACACCCTAGTGATATATTTTACCAGTTGCTGTTGATTCATGGAGTTGTTGTTGGTGTGAAGTTGATTCCAACCCATAGCGACCCTGATAGGGTTTCTGAGGAACAGCTGGTGAGCTTGAACTGCCGACCTTGCAGTATCAAACGGCTTTACAGTCTGGTGCATTAACCCACAGCACCATACCAGGACTCCTGATGATCTACGTCTGGAAAAATCAGTACTTAAACAGGTGGGCACCATGAATTGAGGAGCTACACTACACATAGTGGTTACAAATCAGGCTGTGAACCTCAAGATCAGCAGTTCAAAACTACCAACTGTTCCGTGGGAGAAATATGGGGCTTTCTGCTCCCGTAAAGATTTATAGCCTCGGAAACCCTATACAGGTTGGCTATGAGTCAGAACCAACTCAATGGCACATAATCACCACCACTTAACAACAACAACAACAACAACTACACTACCAAAGCTCCTTAATTCATAGTGACCACAGGGTCTCTATGGGTCGTAACCGGCTTGATGGCACTTAACAACAACAACAACAACCTGTCTAAGGACTCATTTTTCCACAAGTATATCACTAGGTCTTTCTTCTAAGGTAGCACTACACTTGAACCTCCAGACTTTGGGTTATCCACTGAGTACACGAACCACTTGTACCTCCCTACGACTTCAGTAATGAACTTTAACCAATTGTCCTTGATTGATGCATTACACAAGCATGACTTCACTCAGGGAATTGGGGGCAGTGCAGAAAGCACCCCCTGACACTGCCGGAGGTGTTGACGCCAACATGACCTAGGGTCCCAGGCCTCAGGTGCCACAGGGGGAGGGACCGCTAAAGGAATGACATCAGTAGGGTTTGTCACCAGTGAAGTAAAGTCATCACCACCACCTCTTCCCTCATTACCAGCAGACAGACCATGGTACCCTCCATTGGGCAGAGAGGAGGGTCTCTGCCTTTGCCGTTGGTAGAAGGGAAAGAACTGCTGGGAACCATTGAGGGAGGAAGAGAGGTCGGGGAAGAGAGGCAGGGTCCCAGGGTCCAGGGGCAGGGGAAGCTGGGCCCTGTGGAGCTGACTTGGCAGCTACATGTGGACTGGTGAAGGGGTCAGGAGGAGTGTTTATAACATAACACACCAACTCTAGTGACACCACTGTACTCATATGTTATGTTCTTGTCAAGTGCCATGGAGTCAGTTCTGACTCATAGAGATCCTGCATAGGGTTTCCAAGAAGTTGCTGGTGGCCTTGAACCGCCTACCTTGGGGTAAGCAACCCAGTGTTGATTCAACAACTCCACACCAGGACTCTGTAAGAATCTTTAAAATGTGTGTGTGTACATATATGCTTTCCAGGGATTGGAGGAGAATGAATGGTCAAAAAAATGACTAGAGAACAAAAGAAAGTATGAAGATTTAAGGATAGCAGAGAGGAGTCCTATGTGGCACTGTAGAATGAGCGCTGGAAAGCTGCTTCTCTGAAACCCCGTTAGTTGGAACCGACTTAGCAGCACATAGCAACAACAGCAATATAAAGAAACAGGAAAAGAGCAATTTGAGGAAGACTTCAACACATACACTGTTGACCAAAGAACACTATCCCCCATCTGTCCTTTCAAACACCTCCCAGCTAAAAGTATAGATGTTTATGGAATTGTAAGAGAAAAAGACAGCATAGCCTAACCTGGTCCATAGACTGTACTCTGCTACCACTTAACCAGCGGAGAGATGAGGCTTTCTGCTCCCATAAAAATTTACATAAAGCTATATGACCTTTGACCTCTTAACTGCTACTTTCATGAGTGTTGATTGTGTCCAAGCAAAATCAAGACTTTGAAAAACTTCAAATTTTCTCCATTTGTTGTTGTTGTTGTTAAGTGTCTTCAAGTGGGTTCTGACTCATAGCGACCCTCTATAGGGTTTCTGAGGAGCAGCTAGTGAGTTTGAACCACCAACCTTGTGGTTCAAACCAAACTTTCTGTCCAGTGCTTTTCCTACAGTGCCATGCCAGGACTCCATTTATCTTGATGCTATTTACTGGTCCAGTTGTGAGGATTTTTGTTTTCTTTACATTGAGGTATGATCCATACTGAAGGCTGTAGTCTTCATCAGTAAATATTTTAACTTCCTCTTCACTTTCAGGAAGCAAAGTTATATCATCTGCATGTCACAGTTTGCTGATGAACCTTCCTCCAATCCTGGTGCCATGTTCTTTTTCATATAATCCAGTTTCTTGGATTATTCAGTCAGCATACAAATTGAATACATATGGTAACACCTTTCCTGATTTTAACCCATTCAGTAGCTGTTGCGG